ATCCCATAGGGTCCCCCAAGCACCACTAGGAGTAATTCCTGAGTGCAGAGCCAGGAGTCAGCCCTGAGCATCACTGGGTGGGACCCAAAAAGAAAAACATAATATACTGAGTCATATGATCTTATGGAAACAATCCAAGTGTACAAGAACGGATAAAGACACTGGTAGATATACGCACTACTTGACTATAAGAAAAGACATAATTTGCTGGTACAGGGATTGATCTGGAGAGCATGACGCTGGGTGAAGTTGGAAGGAGAGAGAGAGATACAGAATGATCTCTCATAGTTTGGATATAAAGAAATAGGAGGCCAGTGGAAACAGGGCCAGGAGAACAGAGTTGGGAAACTAAGCTTTCTGAGGTGGGAGCCGAGGGTGGGATGGTGGTTGGTTGTGGGGGAGACTAGGGTGGTCGGTGTGATATTAAAACATTGTAAATATAAAACTGTATCATTGGGGCCAGAGTGATAGCACAGCGAGGAGGGTGTTTGCCTTGCACGTGGCAGACCCGGGTTCGATCCCCGCATCCCATAGGGTCCCCCAAGCACCGCCGGGAGTGATCCCTGAGTGCAGAGCCACGAGTCAGCCCTGAGCATTGCCAGGTGTGACCCTAAAAACCAATAAATAAATGAAATGTTTAAAAAACACTCTCATTAACAGTGTTATATGTCATAAAACCGTATCGTTAACAGTGTTGTAAATCATAACGCCTAAACAAAAAAACCGATCCAGGGCCCCGAGAGACCTTACAGGCTGGGACACTGGCCTGCTGGTGTCCAAGTGCTCCTGGTAAGATCCCCCGAAGCACTGTCAGGGGGGTCACTTTTCAACACAGAGCCTGGAGCAGCCCCTCAGCACTGCTGGGTGTGACTCCTTTCCCCTCCCAAACAAAAACAAAACCAACATATCTAAAAAACTTTTTCCCTTTTTTTTCTTTGCTTTTTGGGTCACACCTGGCGATGCACAGGGGTTATTTCTGGCTCTGCACTCAGGAATCATTCTTGGCGGTACTCAGGGGACCCTATGGGATGCCAGGGATCAAACCCACGTCAGCCGCGTGCAAGGCAAATGCCCTCCCCGCTGTGCTATTGCTCCAGCCCTAAAAAATTTAAAAAAAAATACTGATTTGGGGCCGGATAGATAGTATAGCAGGTAGGGCACTTGCCTGGCACGTGGCTGACCCGGATTCCGTACCTGGCATCACACATGGATTTTCTGCTTCCTGCCAGAGTGACCCCCTGAGCAGAGTCAGGAGAAAGCCTGAAAACTGTCAGGTGTGGACCCCAAGCGAAACAAATCAAAATACTGGTTTATTGATCTCTGGCACTGGAACCAAACAACAAAAAAAGAGCAGCTAAAAATACTTGTTCAGGGCTGGGGAGATGATCAAAGGGCTGAGTCTGTGATTTGTAATCAGGAGTCCTGAGTTGTTCTCCTGGACGGTGTGTGCGTGTGTGTGTGTGTGTGTGTGTGTGTGTGTGTGTGTGTGTGTGTGTGATCTCTGAACTCTGAGCAGTCCCTGAGCATTGTGGGTTGTGACCTCCCGCAACGATCCACTCCCCCATTAATTTTGTATCCCTCTTTTTTTTTTTTTTTTTGCTGTTTGGGTCACACCCGGTGATGCACAGGGGTTACTCCTGGCTCTGCACTCAGGAATCCCTCCTGGCGGTGCTCAGGGGACCATATGGGATGCTGGGAATGGAACCCGGGTTGGCCTTGTGCAAGGCAAATGCCCTACCTGTTGTACTATCACTCCAGTCCCTAATTTTGTTCCATTCATCTTGTGAATTATTGTTCAGATTTTGAAATATATTTGGTTTTTGGCTCTTACCCAACAGTGTTCAGGGCTAACTCCTGGCTCTGCACTCAGGGATCACTCTTGGAAGGGGTTGGGGTTACTCTATACAGTGATGGGGACCAAACCCTGGTAAGTTGCATTCAAGGCAAGCGACTATCTCTCTGACCCTGGTTTAAAAATTCTGAATACGGGGGCTGGAGCAATAGTACAGTGGGTATGGTGTTTGCCTTGCATGCGGCCGACCTGGGTTCAATTCCCAGCATACCATCGGGTCCTCCGAGCATCTCTAAGAGTGATTTCTGAGTGCATGAGCCAGGAATAACCGCCCCCCCCCAAATTCTGAACACTTTACAGGCTGCTTTTTTGTGTGTGTGTGTGTGTGTGGGGGGGGGGGGTAACAGACCCAGCAGTGCTCAGAGGTTTAACTCCTGGCTCAGTTCTCAGAAATTACTCCTGGTGGGGCTCAGGGGATTCTGGGTCTACGGATTCCCCCCAGCTCCTTGGCAACTACTCTTTTTTCTTTTTTTTTTTTTACTTTTTATTAGTGAATCACCATGAGGTACAGCTACAGAGTTGCAAACTTTCATGCTTGCACTTCAGTCATACAATGATCGAGTACCCACCCCTCCACCAGTGCCCATTGTCCACAACCAATGGTCCCAGTGTCCCTTCCTCCACCCCCACCTCGTCCCCACCTGCTTTTGTGGCAGGGCATTCCCTTTTGGTCTCTCTCTCCTTTTGGGTGTTGTGGTTTTTGCAACCATTCTTAAACAGAACTTGGTATTTCCTGCTTGAAACGACATGAAATTAAAGCCAAGGACAAGGAAGTAGAGATTCTACCTTCAGGCACTGGAGGTAGGCCACAGGACTAGGGCACTGGCCTTGCGTTTTGGGTTTCATCCCTGTCACTGTGTCTCTCCTGGCCACAAGCACAAAGGGAGGTCACTCTGGAACACAAAACAAGGACTAGTCCTTCAGCGCTGCTGGGTGTGACCCGCAAATCAAAAACAAATCCCAAAATAAAGAATTTTAACAAAACACTGATTTGGGGCCAGGGAGGGCAAAATAAAAGGCAAGTGACTGTGATCCTGGGTGGAGAGAACAAAGATCAAGCCATGTTAGGGGACTGCTAGGCTTTTGAGTATTCCTGTGCTGGCATGAACCGTCACATTGCACCTCCTAACTGTGCATCAGTCACATTGCACCTCCTAACCGTGCATCAGACGGGGGCAGGGCGCAGAGCCTGGATCCCACAACAAATACCCCACAATCCCAGACTAGCTGCCAAATCTCTGTAAAGGAGAAAGGAGGGAAAGGAGGCGTTTCCACCCTCCTCGCACCCCGCAGGGACTGAAAAATAAAAGCAGCTCTTCAACCCTTGGGTCCTGGGTTAAAAAGGTGGCTTGAAACACAGGCCTGCAAGCACAGAGTTTGGGAAGAAGGCAGGCCCGGAAGCTCTTTTCCTCCTTTAAATTTTTTTCTGACCACACTTAGCAGTATCCTGGCTCTCTGTGCTCAGAGATCACTCCTGGAGGGGCTCTAGGGGACCACAGAGGATGCCAGGGCGCGGGAGGGGGGTCTAACCGGGATCAGCAGCTTGCAAGCCTCCTCCTTTTCCCTCTTTCCTTTCGAATTTCCCGCACCCCTTCCTGCTCCCCGCCTCCCCAGCGCCCAGAGCCCGGGAAAGCGGCAGCTCGGGGCTGTGGGCGTGGCCTCGGGCGGAGGGGGCGGTACTGACTGGGATCAGGAGGCGGCGGCTCGGGGGCTGTGGGCGTGGCTTGAGTGGAGGGGGCGGTGCCGGGTGAGATCTGTAGGCGGCAGCCCGGGAGCTGTGGGCGTGGCTTTAGCGGAGGGGGCGGTGCCAATTGGGATCAGTAGGCGGTGGCTCGGGAGTTGTGGGCGTGGCCTCAGGCGGAGGGGCGGTGCCGGGCGGGACCAGGGGGCGGTGGCTCGGGAGCTGTGGGCGTGGCCTCGAGGGCGGTACTGGTGGGCCCGAGAGGGCAACTCGGGGATGTGGGCGTGGCCTCTGGCCGAGGGGGCGGTGGCTCGGGAGCTGTGGGCGTGGCCTCGGGGCGGAGGGGCCGGCAGCTCGGGGACTAGTGGGCGTGGCCCCGGCGGAGGGGGCGGTCCTGGCCGGGCCCGGGGGCGTGGCCTCGCGGTGGATGACTCGGCCTGCGACTAGCCCTCCTGGGGCGGCCGCGCCTCCTCCTCCTCCTCCGGCGCCCGCTTCCCGGGCTGCCCACGCGGCCGGCTCTCGGGCCTCGATTGCTCCGGCCTATCACCCTGGGATGCCGCCGCCTCAGCCGCCTCAGCCGCCTCAGCCGCCGCCGCCGCCTCCGCCGCCTCAGCCGCGGCTCGCCGGGGTCGCCGGGGCGCTGCGCGGCGGCGCGGCCTGAGGCCCCCGAGGGGGACGGGGCGCGAGAGGCCGAGGAGGGGCGAGCGCTCCCTTCCCGAAGGGCCCCGGCGCGCGGGGCGGGAAGCCGGCGGAGGGAGCGTTTGTCTCGGAGCCGGCTCGAGGGGGCGGCCCCTGGCGGCGACGCCCCCAGCCCCGCCCCGGCGCCCGGCCCCGCCGCATCCCCGAGCCTCGGGGCGGCGGCGAGAGGAGCGGGAGCTTGAGGGGGCTGAGGAGACTGAGGGGCTGAGGAGGCTGAGGAGCCTGAGGAGACTGAGGAGGCTGAGGAGGCTGAGGAGGCTGAAGAGACTGAGGGGACTGAGGAGACTGAGGAGGCTGAAGGCGCTGAGGGCGCTGAGGGTCTGAGGAGCCTGAGGAGCCTGAAGAGACTGAGGAGACTGAGGGGTCTGAGGAGCCTGAGGGGTCTGAGGAGCCTGAGGAGGCTGAAGAGACTGAGGGGTCTGAGGAGGCTGAGAGGTCTGAGGAGACTGAGGGGGCTGAAGGCGCTGAGGGTCTGAGGAGCCTGAGGAGACTGAGGGGGAGCCGCCCCCGGTGGGCTCCCGAGCGCGTGCCCCTCCTGACGGAGGGAGCCGCCACCTGCGCCCGCACGCCCCGGCCCGCGACCCCCGGCGCCGGGGCCACGCTGGATCCGCCTCCCGGCGCGGGTCCCGCCCGCCGCGTGCAGGTGGGCTGCGGCGGCCCCGGCGCGGGGCAAGCGGGCCGAGGAGGAGGAGGAGGAAGAGGAGGAGGAGGCGAGCGGCCGCCGCCGCCGTCGCCGTCGTCGTTGTCGTCCCCGCTGAGCCGCCGCCGCCCCCCATGGAGCTGTCGCCGGCGTCTGGGGGAGCCGCCGAGGCGCGCTCGTGGCCCGAGATGTTCCCGGCGCTCGAGTCCGCCGAGTCGCCGCTGCCCCCCGACGAGCTGGACGGCGGCGTGCCCGTGAGCGGGGCCGTGGTGGCCGGGGGCATGCTGGATCGCATCCTGCTGGAGTCGGTGTGTCAGCAGCAGAGCTGGGTCCGCGTGTACGGTAAGGACCCCCGACCCCCGACCCCGCGTGCGTCCTGCCGCCCGCTGCCAAAGCCAAATGCAGCCTCGTGCCGTGCAAGATGCATCCCTTCGCCGTGCAAAAGTCACCCCCTTCCCCGTGCAAGATGCATCCCTTCGCCGTGCAAGATGCATCCCTCCGCGTGCAAAAGTCATCCCCTGCCCGTGCCGAAGTCACCCCCTCCCCGTGCAAAAGCCACCCCCTCCCCGTGCAAAAGCCACCCCCTCCCCGTGCAAAAGCCACCCTCTCCCCGTGCAAAATGCAACCCTTCTTCGTGCAAAAGTCACCCCCTCTCCCCGTGCAAAATGCGACCCTTCTTCGTGCAAAAGTCACCCCCTCTCCCCGTGCAAAATGCATCCTCTCTTAGTGCAAGAGTCACATCCCCTCCCCTTGCACAATCCCCCCCACCACCTCCCTCCCTCCCGCGTGTCTCTGGGCCCGGCTGGTTCCTGCGCCCCCAGATGTATCGTCTAAGTTTTGCCGCCAGCCCCGCGCTGGAGAAGATGGGGCGCTCGCTCGCGCTCGCGTGTGTTGTGTTTTATTTTTTTCCCCCCTTTGGATCTTTCCAGGCACCTGCAGCGCGTTTCAAGGTGGAGTTAGGCCCCCCTTGCCCCTAATTCTGCAGTACCGACCTGAAGGCAGAGCTGTCAGCTCAGCTTCCAGAGGGTGGGATCCCCCCCACAACACCCCCCAGCTTGTCCCAGGAAATCAAGTGAGCAAAGGGCCACACACAGGCTGGCTGGATGCAGAAACTTCAGCTAAGGTGCAGGTGCAGAGTTCAGTGCTAGGTGGCTTCACACTGAATCGGTGTCGTCGTTGTCTGGTTGTCGTTGCCTCTCTTCTGAGTCTCCTTTGGACAGCCCCAATAGGCCATATTCCAGATGGCCCCATTGTTGTGACTGATTTGCTTCTGTCAGGAGCCCAGGCTCAGGCTCTGCACTGGGGAGAGAGATTGAGCACGCCCGAACTTCTCCCATCCTGTATTCCTGGGGCTCCCCCCCCTTTAATGAAAAACCGAATGATGGGATTCTATCTGGGTGAGCCTGGCCATGGGCCATGGAACCCGGCTGTGTTTGAAAACTCAACAGCCTCTGGACACCTCCAGGATTTTTTTTTTTTCCCACTGAGTTTAGGTGGACCCTGGAGACATCGGTTCAAATCAGGCACGTTGATTGTTAAGGTGTTTTTCGTGCTCATGTGCATCTGAGCCTGTAGTGGTCAGGACATTGTGTTACTTCGCCCCCCTTATGATTTCCTGGTGACCGAGTCTTGAAGTTTGTCTCTCTGGACCACGTAGGTGGCTTTTGACTTCAAGTCTGGCATGGTCCAAAGGAGTCTAGAACTTTGGGATTTGATCTCAGTTTGGCTGTTCAGTGATTATCCATGACATTTGGCTGGGATGGGGGGTAATCAGGTCTTTCCCTGCCCACCCCATCAAATTAGAATATTGGATAAAATAATCTCTTTATAGCCCCTTCAGAACTAAATCTCTAGCAATTACGTATTTTTTTTTTATAACCAATTCTTAAGGACTTATGTGTGTTATCACTTGGTATTTCGTGGTGTGTGTGAGTGTGTGTCAGTGTTTGGCTACACCCGTGATCCTCAGGACTTCCTCCTGGCTCTGGTGGTGCTCCAGGAACCTTATTCCGTTCCGGGGATGGAACCAGAGATAGCAGTGAGCAAGGCAGTGCCTTAATCCCAGGACTGTCTCTCCCGCCCCATGTTTGTGTTCTTGATGGTATCCTAATTATCTGAAATAATTGAGACTGAGGTAGGAGATGATGCAAGGTCAGTCAGTCTGGGCTCAGCAGATTAAAACCTTTCTTGCCTGGTTTCCCCTTCCACCTGCTAATCCCACTTAGCCGATAGCTTCCTACAGCAGTCGATGAGCCGTTGCAGATGAGCCTGGATCCGTCCATGTGTGTTGTGGATCCACGTTCTCATCGCGCCTTTCCATCCTTAACACGCTCGGATTACTTAGGAGTTAGCGCGAGGCTGTGTATATATGATCTTCCAGTATTTCATTGTCCGAAACTGTTCTCTCGGGTTTTTCTAGACCCCGTGATAACCGTCATTCTTTGCACGCAGCTGATAAAAAATAATGCCTCTTCCCAGGTTCCTTTTCTAGGGTGAGACAAATGTTCGTAAATAGTACTACCTCAGAAATACATACCATGTATGTATGGTACATGCATTCTCTCTGTTACAGAGTGAATTGCAGCGCCCAGCGAAGAGACTTTCTACTGCTTTATAAATTTTTCCACCTCCCCCTCAATTAAGCATTGTAACTTCTCTCCTCTTCCGCTCTCAATTATCCTGATGCTGTTGTTATTTACTGTTTTTTTTTTTCCCAACAGCTTTTGTTCTTCTAAGGCACAGTGGCATTGTCTGTAGTTTGATAGAAACATTCCAAAACCATAAAAATGACTCATGACTTTTCTCTGTCCTTAGCAGGTTTTCCAGTTGCCTGTTGTAGAACTCACCGAAAAGCCGTGAAATGAAAAATATTAGAAGGTTGAAATCATTTGGAGAACACTTAGTTCATTTTGGTTTTCTTGTTGACTTAGTGGTTTTCTCTGTGCAGAATCCTGATTGTTCAGAACATCTGGCTGCTTCTTCCCAATTTAAAGAGAGTTTGTTGAGTGTAGTCTACTGCTATATAAAATATATATTTTTTTTCTTTAAAGGAATCTAACAACTGGTAATCTAGACACGACACCTGGAGGTTGAGAACCTGAATTTTCTTTCTGTCATTGCCACAAATTGGTTGTCTGGCAATGGGCAAGTAATTAAAAAAAAATTTTTTTTTTTTTGGACTATACCTAGTTATGCTCAAGGTTTGTGCTGGCTCTGTCTCAGGGATCTCTGCTAGTGGTTCTCTGCGGACCATATGTGGTGCTGGAGATTGAACTCCATGCAGAGGACCCCTTAATAAGCTTTGTATTGTCTCTTTGGTCTGGGGGAAGCGATGTGAACTTGGTGGGTCTAGGTTTCTGTATTAAATGTGGACTCTGTAATTATTACCCTCTCTGGTCCTTTTTAGCTCTAGAGCTTTCTGATACCGTCACCTGCCCTGCTTTGTTACCTACAGGTTGTTAGGAATTCTAGCCTGGTTCTTGGGGCTCTGCAGGGGAGGCAAGCCCTTGACTTGATGCATTTAAATCTTGACTGTCAGGATGGACTGGGGAGCTGTTTTAACAGAAGGTCAGTGAACTGCATTTGGAAAGAAGGAATGTGAGGGCAGATGTCTATTTGTTTGGAATGTTTTCACAAGATAGGAAGGTGGGGATGGGTGTCTTGCTTGGATCTAGCTCTTGCAGCTTTGGGGCCGAACCTAAAATAACTGTGGATTTCAAAGAGGGTCTAAAATGGGGAACGGTGTTTAGTGCTGCTGGCTTTGAAGGGAGTTTCACAGGGCAGTAGGTGCCTCTGTTCGAGGTTAAAAAAAAAAAAGAAAAAAAGGCAGGCGACCATAGCAGAGGCCCCCTGCCTTGTAAAGAATAGCAAGAGAAGTTTTGGGAAACGGCATTTTACCAGTTTCCCTCACAAGACTGGAAGGCTGGGGCTGTTCTGAATCTGTTTGACAGGTCTGGTCTTGGGTTGGTAGTTCATCTATCCAGAGTTTTGCGCGTTGCCATGATTGGCAAACTTGGGGGTTGTGTTCCGAGCTTTGTAAAGGTGGGATCTTACTTAGGTTGCAAACCACTGAGCTGTGACACTCCACCAAGAGAAAGCGTGCCATCATCCCCTTTCTTTGCTTTGAGTTGTAAAATGCCTCGGTTGTTTATCCCAGCATTATTATAAGTTCTCCCCAGGCCCTGACTGGACTTTACTAGATTTTTGGTCCCAAGGAATCTTGTTTATCTGGGTATTGCTGTCTCGACAAGCCAGTCAGTGTCACCGTGGCTGGCAGATCGGTGTTTACTCGCGGCACATTGCTGCCTGTTGAACCCTGATGCCTCTGTCCTTGGCCCAGCGAGACCACAACCTGCCTGCTCTTAGGGGTGGTAGAGTAGCTTAAACAAAGGCATGCCACCACCAGCTAAATATGGATGCAGAATCTGAGAGCATCAAATGCAGAACATTTTTCAGATATTTATAGCCTTACTGCAAGTCAATTGGCTGAAAAAGCTCAGCCGCTGAACCATAGGCAGAGGGGGCAGAGGCTTCGGCTGTCTGTTCTGCTGGTGCGCCGAGTGCGTGGACAGGGACCACCTTGCACAGGAAGATGCAGACGTTGGAGTTCAGCTTCTCGGGGAGAAGCTCCAGAATCTAGGCTCTCACATTGCAGTAGTTCTGCCAGCCAGTGACCAGGTGCTCCTGTAGTTATCATAATCCTGCAATCACCAAGAAATCAGATTGTTCCTAAACGTTTTTTTGGGGGGGTGGGGTGTCACACTCAGTACTGTTCAGGGGCTACAGCATCAGTGCTCAGGAGTCACTTCTTGTTGGATCTTGGGGAACCAGGTGGTGCTAGAGATGGAACCCAGGTTTCCTGTGTGCAAAGCATGTGCTCAGTTTGCTGAGCCACCTCTGTGGCTCCAGGTTTCATTCTGGTGGTTTAGTCAGGATTTGTGTAGAATAAAATACTGTCAGCATGATCGCCTGCCATTAAGTTAGTGTATAGCTCATTGTCATGCTCTTTCTGAAGGCCTGGGCTGTTGGAGCAAGCTGGAGGAAAGGGCGATTAATCACACACTGCATCAGAGGCCATGTCGTCTTAGAAATATGCAGTGGTGGCTTGGGAGGAATTTCTCAGGAACTGCATCCGAATTGATGGATGCAGAATTCTTAATTGGCTGTAGTGAGTGCTATTGCTTATGTTACAGGATTGAAGACAAAGGGTGGGATTCTATTGCATTTTTTTTGGAGACTGTCTATACTTACTTTAAATGTTGCAACCAGTAACACGTGCAGGAAGTTGGTTCTTTTTCGGTTCAGTATGAATTAGATGTGACTAACTCACGGGTCTTATACAG